AAAAAAAAAAAAAAAAAAGCAAAGCTAATCAGAGTTACATATCTTTCAATAAGAGAATGACTTGTCTTAAGTCTTATATTCTCATATCCATGGCATTTGTACCATTTTCTTTTTTTAAGTTAACAGGGATTAAACCCAGTGGTGCTTAACCACTGAGTCATATTTCCAGCTCTTCATTTTTTGAGATAGGGTCCCGCTACAATGTTCAGGGCCTCTCTAAATTGCTAAGGCTGGTCTCGAACTTGCAATCCTCTTGTCTTTACCTCCCAAGTCACTGGGATTACAGGTGTATGCCACTGCACCCAGCCTTTAGTATCATCTTGAAGTGTTCTTCAGAGATCTTAAATATTTTTAAAAAATATTTATTTTTAGTTATAGGTGGATATAATATCTTCATTTTATTTTTATGTGGTGCTGAGGATCTAACCCAGTGCCTCTCGCATGGTATACGAGCGCTCTACCTCTGAGCCCCAGCCCCAGCCCCCAGAGATCTTAAATATTTACTCCTAATTTGTTCATTTTGCTTTATGTGTGTGATTTATTCTTCCATTTTTCAAATGTTTCTTGTTTGCAGTTGGGAAACTGTGTGTATTAATTTTATAACCACCCATCTTGTTAAATTTCTTATTTTTCCACAAATATCAGCTTATTCTCACGTTTTCCAATAACATATCACGTACAAATAAGATATACAGTACAGGAAGCTCTGTTTACCCTATGTATCTCAGAAACTGTCTCCTTATTTCTTCAAAAACGACTTCCTTTCTTGGCACACACTGGAACCTGCTCCTCCTCAGCACAGAGGTGCAGCTGTGCATTCTATTTGTATAGCTTATTTTCCTAAAGGGGAAGGGGGCAGGGCAGCCCTGAAAGTGCTACTCACATGGCAGAAGATCATGGCTTGTGCGATGGTGATGGCCCCATACAGGTTGCACAAGGCCTGGAACTTCTCGTCTCTGTTATTGCACAGGACATAATACTGCTTAATGGTGTCCAATGTCTCCTCCTCACGCTTTAGTTTGATAATGTTTGGGTCTGGGACCACTTTCTGGGCAAACTTCCACACAGAGTCTTCAAAGGTGGCAGAGAAAAGCAACATCTGGCAGTTCCTGGGCAGCATCCTGCAAGGTGAGACCCAGGCACTTTATACAGCATCCCTGGGATAGAGAGAAGAAGCAGGTCCAGGGTTGCATAGGGGTGGGTTAGGGTCCCAGATCTCCTTTCCCAACCCAGGCTGGGAGGACGGTCAGTGCTGACGTGAAAATGGCCCACCAAACAATTGCTTTTTCAAATATCAGAGTAAAAAATGCAACAGCAGGCTGGAGTTATGGCTCAGTAGTAGAGCACCTGCCTAACGTGTGTGAGGCCCTGGGTTCAATCCTCAGCACCACATAAAAATAAATAAATAAAATTGTACACAATACAACTTAAAAAATATTAAAAAAAAAAAAAAGAAAAGGAAAAAGAAAGAAAGAATGCAACAGAAGCAAGAGGGGCATCTGAATTTCCTCCTCACTCTAGTTCTTACCTCTGGATGCGGATGCTCTGATCTTGGTGGCCTTGAGTGGCTATCATCACGTCGGCCTCATCTAGAACAAATACCTTGATCCTCTTAGGGTCAATGAACCTGAGCTTGGAGCACCAGTCCAGGACAGTCCCAGGGGTACCAATGACAATCTGCTCACTGATCTTCTGACCCCTTTCCACTGTGGAGATGAAATGTTTTCTGTGGGTATTTCTTTTTTTTTTTTTAATATTTATTTTTTAGCTTTAGGCGGACACAATATCTTTATTTTATTTTTATGTGGTGCTGAGTATAGAACCCAGCGCCCCATGCATGCGAGGTGAGCGCGCTACCACTTGAGCCATATCCCCAGTCCTTTCTGTGGGTATTTCATAGGTAAAGCCAGCTCTGGAAATCAAAGTCTTGCCTATCCTTCCAGGAATAGTAGAAAAAATTAATTTCAGATTTCAAAACACACCTGAGTGTTGTCTCAAATCTTAGTTTCTTCTACTGTGAAACGAGTAGAATGGCATTGTGATCATGATTAAATTCCATGCCATGGACCCTCAATAAATGTTCTACATTCTCCTATAACTTAACATCATACAATTCTCTTTATGATTACTCTTCTTCCTTTTCTATCATCCATTCACCCAAAATTCACTTAGTTCCTCCTTTATTGGTAGTTGTGACAAAATTTATTTATCAACTGGCAAAATTTATTGCTCTATTCTCTCGTCTCTCTAGACATTCTATTTGTGTAGCTTATTTTCCTAAAATATGGAGCTCTTAAATTAACAAAATACTACATTATCCTAAACTATAGCTGGTTGGAATTGAAACTGTTACAATCATTCATCATATTTTCTAATTTATGTGCCCACTGACCAACACTTCCACTATTAGAAATTAATCCTGCAAGTACAGTTTATGTGTGAAGTAACATGTGCAAGAATACACACAGGGGCTGGGATTGTGGCTCAGCAGTAGAGCACTCGTCTAGCACATGCAAGGCCATGGGTTTGATCCTCAGAACTACATAAAAATAAATAAAGGTATTGTGTCCAACTAAAACTAAAAAATAAATAAATAAACAGAATACACACAAAATATGATGAGTAAGATAAGATACACCCAATGTATGACACCAATGATACTTAGGAACTGAGATGAAATAATCTCCAAAACATATTATTAAAAGTGAAAAAAGCCAGATGTGAAGCACTTGCCTTTGGTCCCAGCTACTTGGAAGGCTGAGGCAGGAAGATCAAAGCCAGCCTTAGCAAGTTAGCAAGACCCTGTCCCAAAATAAAATAAAAGGGAAGGGGGATGTAGTTCAGTAGTAGAACACCCATGGATTCAATCCCCATTACCATAAAAAAAAAAAAAAAAAATTTTTTTTTTTTTTTAAATTAGCTGGGTATGGTGGCACATGCCTATAATCCCAGCTACCCAGGTCTCTGAGAAGGAGAATCATAGGTTTGAAGCCAGCCTGGGCAACAGAATGAGACTGTCTCAAAAAGAAAAACAAGAGCCAGGATAGCAAGTTCAAAGCCAGCCTCAACAATAGCGAGGTGCTTATTAGCAACTCAGTGAAAGCCAATCTCTAAATAAAATACAAACTAGGGCTGGGTGGCTCAGGGGTTGGGTACCCCTGAGTTTAAGCCCCAGTACCAAAAAAAAAAAAAAGAAAAGAAAAAAAAGGGCTGGGCATGTAGCTCAGTGGTAGAGCAGCCCTGGGCTTAATTTCCTAGCACTGCAAAAATAGAT